CCCTATACTGACCCGACGTCACCCCCCCCTATACTGGCCCGACGTCCCCCCATCTACTGACCGGTCTTGTAGATGGCCTTGTGTTATGTAATGCCGGGTCACCAGGGCGGGCTCTCCTCACCTCTTGGTTGTGTTTCATGTCGCCAGCCGCGGGATGAAGTTTGAGAACGTGCAGACGCTGACGGACGCCATCACTGACATCATACTGGACATGAAGTGGTGTTGGTGAGTGCGGAGTGTGCGGCTCCCATTCTGAGGCCTCGGGGGATGGGGACTTATATGTCTGTGTTCTGTGTAGGGTGGATCAGGCCGGAGTCATCTGCAAGCAGGACGGAATCTTCCGGGTCAACTGCATGGACTGCCTGGACCGGACCAACGTGGTGCAAGCGGCCATCGCCCGTGCCGTCATGGAACAACAGGTAACCCCGGGCAGAGTTCCATGGCCCTTCCCCCTTCATCTCCCCTCCCCCGACACGCACATGAACTGCTTTATGTGCAACTCCTCCCGCCTAGCCCCCTCCCACGGTCCTCCCGCCATTCATAGCCCCCTCCCACGGTCCTCCCGCCATTCATAGCCCCCTCCCACGGTCCTCCCGCCATTCATAGCCCCCTCCCACGGTCCTCCCGCCATTCATAGCCCCCTCCCACGGTCCTCCCGCCATTCATAGCCCCCTCCCACGGTCCTCCCGCCATTCATAGCCCCCTCCCACGGTCCTCCCGCCATTCATAGCCCCCTCCCACGGTCCTCCTGTCTTAGTTACCTCGCAGTACAGATGTCTGGGGGCGTCGCATTAGGTGGTGCATGTATCGTGTATGTCGAGTTATTTTGCCGTCTACTGGAGGACCGGACAGAAGAATTGTACGTCGGCCCCTTTTCCTTTTCCCAGCATGCCTCAGTTTTCTGCTTGTGTCCCAGGAGGCCGGACATTTGTCTCACAACTCTGCTGAGGACGTTCCCTAGGCCCGGCCCTGGAGGCCATTCCCTGACCCTTTTGGGCCGGACTTGTGGGCCCGAGCTGGGCACTGGGTTCTGCATTGTGGCTTCACACTCTGGACCTGAGTGTACTGGTTGTTAGCCGCGGAGCGCTTTGCGCGTCCGGAGCCGTGGCGCAGCCCCAGGGGGGGGGGACCCTGTTTCTGTTGAGCTGAAGCATTGGGATCTACCTGGCTGGCCGCACCTTTTGGGCCGCCTCTGTTCACCGCAGTTAGGCCCCGTTCACATTGAGCGAATTATCGCGCGGTAATTCCCGCGATATCGCTCTTCAATGCATCTCAATGGGGCAAAGGGTCCTGCTTGTCGCGGGTCGTGCGTCGCTACAGCAGGACCCTTTTTGGAGCGGATTTTGCCGCGATTCTCGCTTTCTCAATGCGAGCATTTGCGCGATATCGCGCAACAAACGCGCGATTTGCGAATCGCGCAATGTGAACAGGGCCTAAAGGTGCTGAAGTCTTACGTTGCACGGATTGCGGCTCGCGCGCTCTTTCCCACCAGGTACTACCATCCCGCCGCTGCTCCTGTTTGCAAGCAACCTCGTGACACTCCGACCCTCAGTCTGTCACCACTGGCCACCTACCCGCAGGGGTCTCAAACCTCCGGCCCCCCAGCTGTGGGGTGGAACTACAAATCCCACGAGGCATTGCAACATTCTCACAGCCACGACTCCCGGAGAGAGATGCATCATGGGATTTGTAGTTTCACCCCCCAGCTGGGGGGCCGTTGGATTGAGACCCCTGACCTACAGTGACCTAGGCTCAGGTTCATTGTTGTTCTGTGCGGAGTCCTTCCCTTCTCCCAGATCCGGAACATCAGAACATCCTGGCTCTGCGTTTGGTCTTGTCGGATTGCCCCACCTGGTTGACCTTTCAACAGATTGAGGTGTTGGTCCCTCAGGTGGACACTGGGCTGCAGGTGGGGCCCCAGTCCTCCTAATGGGGCCTGTAGTGTTTTTTGCCGTGTTGTCCACACCTCAGTTGCCCTTCCTTCGGATCTTCTGTCTAATCTGAATTCCTGCGTCTCTC